TTTTGATGTATCTCTAAATAAATCTACCTTTACTCAACTGTGGCTCGCTCTTGAATTCTTTCCTGCATGAAGCCAAGGACCCATATTTGGTGGGGCGTGTCCCAAGGATTTAACCAAAGCCTGGGACACAGCCCTCCTCACACCCCATATCCATTTTCCTGCATCAGTGGTGAACCTGACAGTGTCTCAACTCTGCTATCTGTAGAACCAAAGCACAGGCATTCTTGCATTCATGCAGCAGGTGTTGCCAGAGCACCACTCTAGGCACTGGGTGTGCGCTAAGCAGTTAGAATGGACTTAATTGCAGCCTTGTGGACAACCATCACAAAGAAGCATAGGAAAGTGACTCCTTAATATACAGCAGTGGAAAAGGAGCACAGAGGGTGTGAGAACATATCAGCAGTGGCTGTACCCATTCTGTATATTGGGAGCTGATCAGGGAAGATGAGATCTTAAGGATGAAAGAGCAGGAGCCACCTAGACAAGACAGTTTATGAGGCAGGATGGAGAGCATTCCAGACAGAAAACACATGCAAGGACTGAGGTGAGCTGAAGGATGATGTCAAGGGAAATGGAAAACAGTTAATGTGGTTGAGGCAGAGAGGGAGGGCGCTTTGCTGGAGGAGGCTGGGGAGGTGGGTGAGACCAGCAAATGCAGGACCTTAGCATTTACGTAACATGAGGATTTAAATTTTGGTTTGCAACAGAATCCTAATTCGCGTGGTTCGGACAATGAGGAAACTGACCCTCTCACCTAGCCTGTGGCAGCCAGAGGACTGATTAAGTAGGGACTGAATAAAGTAACCTGAGACCCAGGTTCTCTCTGTATTTCTGCTCTGCCCTAACCAGCACGTTGGCTTTTCCTTAGGCTTGTTCCTCCTGTGGTTACCCATGACGGCCAGAGTTCTCAGCATCATTTCCAGTCACAAAAGTGTCCACTGGAAGATGAGAAACTGCTTCTTCCTTTGTCTTTCTTTTGAGTGGAAAAAACTTTCTTAGAAGACTCCTGGCCCTCAGACCTGACTCCTCCTGTCCTTGGCCTGAGCTGATTCACACACCCATCCCTCAGGCCAACACTCACAAGGAGAACAGGATGAAGAGCGATTGGCCAACTGGGATTTCTCCTGAGTCATGCAGAGGAAGGATGCAAAAGATGTGAGGGCTCTGTGGGTCCAGCCCTCCCCACCCCTCCCCCACACCATGGGGCCCCAGGCGGTCTCTCTGGGTGGACCCTGGCGTCCTCTCCTGAGGGCAGGGGCTCCCGGGGATGCTGGAAGTGCCTCCAGATTACCCGAGGTGTCTCCTCAAGGACCTTCCCTTAGACCAGGAGGAGCAGCCTTGGCCCATTTTGCAGACTGGTGAGGCCTTCTTTTGGGGACTGTCAGCAACAGGAACCAAGCAGGACACTGGGCTTTGCCCTGGGGTGAGGGTGGGAGCTGCTGAGGGTGAAGGAGGAGACTTGTTGCTCATTTGGGAGGGATCTCAGATTGGAGAAAGGCAAGGTCACCTAGGCAGAGCCACCCAAAGAGAGACCTGGGCTTGGAGGTGTGAAGGAGAGGTGATTGGGAGGAGGTGTACACGACGACACTGCCCCCTGCTGGCAGTTCGTGAAAGGCCTCTGGAAAAGCCGGCCTTAAGTCAGCGTGGGAAGGAAAGACGATGCTGTTTTCTCTCAGTCTCCCCAGGACAGGGGAGTGCCGTGTAGCCAGTATTCGTGAGTTGAAACAGCATGGCTCGTGCTCGTCCAGAAAACACCGGAGGGACAGAGGGACTAGCGTGTGCCAAGACGTGGAGGTGGGGAAGGGAAAGGGGAGTCACCAAACGAGGTGTGGCAGGGGGTTTGGTTGAAGAGGGCCGCCAGCGCCCGGCGCCAGGGGTAGGCCTCTTCCTGTGGCAACTGTGAGTCACCCATCAGCAGGGCGTACCCAGGGCTGGTGTCGCGTGCAGGGACACGTGGACACGTGTTGGGGGCGGGAGGGAATTAAATGAACTCTAGACCACCTGCGGGACCTGCCCGACGAAATTGCCGGCCTTTGTCCTGGGCCAGAAGGTACTGGCGCGTCCGGAAGGGAAAGGGTGCTCCAGGGAGTGGTCCCGCGCGAGCACGCACATTCCTGCTCCCAGCATTTCATTCCCATGTGCACCGCCCCGTGCGCCGAAGACCTTACCCCCAGGGGGCGTGTCGTGGGCGGGGCTCCTGGGGATGCGCCAAACAGAGGTCAACTGGGCGGGGCCCAGGTGTTAGGGGCGTGTCCTCGCCCTCCGGTCTCGCCTTGTGATTCACCGCTGGGTGCGGCCGCCGCGCAAACACCCGGCGGGCGGGCGAGGTTGGTCACCAGGGCCAGAAGCCGTTCACCTGCGTTCCTTGTTTTCCCCGAAGTCCTCGCGGGTGCCTGGCCCCGGGGATGCCCAGTGCTCCCAGTCCCCCGGCTTAGCTCACTGGGAAAAGTTCCCGAGTTCCCCGCGGTTAGAACCCTTTGCCACCCCACCTCCCCCGCCCGGAGCTGAGCTCCTCGAGGATCTGGGGACCGAGTATCCCCTTCCTAGGAGGGCCCGGGTTCCTGGAGCTGGGGAGCGATTTTGGAATCGGGGGCGGAGAAATGGAGCGGGGAGGAGCACGTACCTAGATGGGGGTTGAACTTTGGATAAGGGAGAGTCTAGGTACGCGGCTGAGGGTTCTTGGACCGTCCAGGTTTCTGAGTCTGGAATGCCAGGACTCTAGATGTTGCGGCTGAGTTTATGGATATTAGGGCTCTGCTCTAGGCGACGGAGGGCTGGGCCCACTCTAGGGGGAGGCATGAAGTGGACACGGGGTAGGAATATGTGCTTTAATAAGGCAATTGGCCAGGGACCTGCTAGAGCTCATGGCCTGGAAGGGAGTAACCCGTGTCTCCCTTCTATCATTTCAGCAGACCGATTTTTTTCCCAAAACCCGAGAAAGTCTCAGAGGCTTGATTAGCCGTCTTGTCGATGGTTTCCTGGGTAGACTTGGCCACCTGGTCCATGGCTGGGAAAGGAAAGGATAAGGCAGATGAAGGCAGAGGGTCGGGGGGGGGGTAGGGGTAGAGGGGGCAGGGAACCACAGCCATGCAGGGTTAACCTGGTTTGGGTCTCCCTCCCCAAGAATCAATGTGGGTAGAGCAGTTGCAGAGGAGAGGGTATGTCTGGGCAAGGGCTGGGTGGAGTGGGAGTGTGCTGGGGCTGCCCACCCTCCTGCCCACCAGCCGTATCAGACCTTTCTGCCCTGCCTCTGTGGCCTGATCCACCACTTGCTGAGCCGCTGCTCCAGCCGCAGTCACTGGAACAAAGAGATGTAGCCTTTAGCCCCTGTTGAGATAACAGCTACCACGGGGGCCCCACTGTTGACAACCCCCATCTGTTCTCGCAAGTGGTCTACCCTACAGGCCTGGGGATGGATGCCATTGAAGTAAAACCCTTTGGCCAAGGCCTCCCAGCCAGTGAGGGGCATGAGTCCTTTCCGTGACTCCAGGGTGTTCTTGTTTATTTATAACTTTGGGCTCTTCCCCTCTGGCCTGCTTCCCTTCCCTTCTCCAGGATTGCTGAGAAAATATCCAACAGAGGAAGGAAGGCAGGGCAGGGCCAGGCTGGAGCTGGCATCTGGGCTGTGGCTACTGGTGGGCATGGCCAGAAAGAACCCTGCTCCTTTTAACAACTTCTCTCCCAGAAGCTTGGCCCCAATGCCTGAATTCCCGCCTTTGGAGCACTTTGCAAGGCCCTCTCACTACCTCCTCGCTTCTGTGCTTCTTCCCAGATGGCACACAAGCAATGATGCCAGTGCCTCCGTAGGCAGGCAGCTTAAGGCATTAGGAAACAAAGTGCAGAAAATAGGCGAAACTTCCAAGGGCAGGCCATCTCCTCTGCACCAGAGTTTGTGCCTGTGGAAACAACGTTTCCATGGGATCAGGTGGGTCACACCTGCTGGGTAGACAGACAGGTGGCTCTGGCCTCCAGAGATCTGACTCATCCTTGTGCTGAACTGGAATGGACCTGCTTTATCCAGACCCCAGGGGCCAGGGTTCCAGGGGGTCAGGCAGGCCCTGGGGTCTGCTGCCCACAGAGGTCCCTGGGGTCATTGTCTGACGTGGCCAGAGAAGAAGCCTTTACACCCAGCTTTCAGATGGGGAAAGTGAGGTCCAGAAGGAAGGATACTGTAGACAGAGGCTTCTTGGTAGAATTTTAGCCTCAAAGGAGCAAATAGGGGCTTTCCTTAGGGTACTGATGAAGGAGGGGTTGGTTTGGACGTTGTCTGTTGAGTGGGATGTATGTAAGACAGATTGGGAACTGGAGTCCCAAGGGAGGCCAAGCTGTGACTGGAAGAGCCTCAGCGGGTGGGCCCAAGATCTCCTCACACCTCCTTCTCCTCAGTCCCTTCCTACCACCAGTCCTGTAAGCTTGGTCTGAGGGGGAAAGAGCTGGAGATGGAGAAATTAAGACTGGGGACCTGCCCTGCAGGGCTGAGGGTGGGAAGGTTCTCTGGGTGAGGACTTAAAAGGAAATGAGTATTTGGGAAGTGGGGGAGGGTGGATCAAAAAAGTATCTGGGAAGTGGGGAGGGTGGATCAAAGCAATGCCGGGTGGAGGCCTGGAGGGGCTTCGCCCATTCCATCCTGGTTCTGTGTGCCTCTGGGACACTGACGGGCAGAGATCGATCTCGGGGTGGCAGAGCGCACTCTCTGGGGACCTTCACCCTCTCCTAAGGACCCGGGCGGGGCCTCTAAGGATTGGGGTGGGGCTGCTCCCCGCCTTCCCAGCCTCCTCAGATTGGCTCTGGCAATGCCCAAAGCGCAGTCCCGGGCTTCTCAGGCACCGCTGTTCTCCCCTCTCCCTCAAGGCATCATCCCCCGCGCTAACCAGGGTGGGCGTCCTGCCAAGTCCCTGCATCACAGGGGAGGGCCCTTCTGAGCCGAAGCCACCTGCGAACTTACGTGCTGCGCAGACACCGCCCCCACCCCGCACTTCTGCTCCTACGCGTCTAGCCGGGTGCCCCAGTATGCGCCCCAGGTCGCCTACTGTCCTCACCCGCTTCCTGGGTGGCTCCCTCCACTTGCTGCTTCAGGTCCTTCAAGCCCTTGCTGGCCATGGCTGGCGGGGGCGTCTGCGAGGTGGTCAAGGTAAGAGCAGCGACGTTGGATCCTGCTCACAGCCGCGGCACCAGCGCGCTCTGGTTTAGGCGCCCAGGCCGCCCGCCCGCGAGGGGGGGGGGAAGTGGAGGGGGCGCGGGGCGGTTCCCAGCACACGGACTCGGGGGAGTGACCGGGCCCTGCTCCAGCCCCGCCAGCCCGAGAGCACGTCCTAGCCGAAGGCGGGCCGCGGTGGGAAGGCGGTGGTCCCACCCAGGGTCTGAAGAGAGGCTGGATCCGGGGTACAGAGAGCTGTTCGGGGCAGAGGGAGGCTCACCAAACTCCCTCCACCCTGTCTGCCAAATCCTGCTTCCCTGACCCCGAGGATCCCTCAGCCTGCGAGCGTGGGGTCGGTACCAGGCCGGGGTCTCAAAGCTGGAGTTTCATTAATAATAGCAGCTGCCTTTTATTCAGCATTTACCTTGTTCCTGGCGCTGCCCTAACACTTATAGCCCCTAGTGTAACTTTTACAACAACCTCTTGAGATGAGTCTTATTAGCAGTTTATATGAAGAAACTGAGGCACAGAGGATGAGTTAGGTCTCACCCAAATTCACATGGCAGGGACTCAAGTCCGTGTCGGCTGTCCGTAAATCTTAGGGCCCTGACCAACCCCAAGCACGTGGTCCCCACACACTCAGCCTGGACATGCGGACTGGCCATCTGCCCAGCCGCCACTGGGACCGGGCTAGGGGGAGCTCAGTGGGGAGAAGGTCGAGTAAATCCTTCCCCGCTTCCGTAGAAGGCGAGTCACTGGCATGCCTGCGGCACTGGCTGGGGACCTGCAGCCCGAAGTGGAGGGGGAGTGACGGAGAGGGCGGTCGGTGTGTGTGCGGCCCAGGCAAGGAAATCGTTGTGGGTCACCAAAGCCCGATTACTAGGGCAGGAAGCACCCCACACCACACAGCGAAGAAGGGAGCAGCCAATCCCTAGGCCACTCAGGTCACCTCTCCAGGGATCCAGGGGCGCTGGGATGGGGGCTAGAGACCTGTGAGTCAGCAGGGCAGCCAGGAATCTCGGGGACAGCAAAATGACACATCCTCCTGGCACTCAAGGGTGCAGGTCGGGCCCTCGCCCCACCCAGCGCTCTCCCACTCCGGGGTTCGCCTTGGGAGCCTGGAGGCCACCCGCTCTGCGTCTCGGTGTAGGGCTCCGCTCTCTAATGCCGTTCTCGGATTCATCCTCTTTGGACCTGCCTCTACACCTTTGTCTGAGTCTCCCCTGTCCTGGAGCTCTGGGAAGCCCCTACCTACCCAGGTCCACTCCGCTGGCCCACGCTCTGCCTCTAACGGGGGGCGGGGTAAAGAGGGAGAGAGACAGGGAGGATAAGCTGGGGAGGGTCAGTCCCTAGTGTGGGGTATCTGGAAATACACACACACACACACACACACACATACACGGAACCGGAACAAGAGGAAGGGGCAGGCGCTGAGATCGGGTTGGAGAGGGACACCAAACGCGCACTGACAAAGCAGCTGGCCCGTCCCGTCCCGCCCCGCCCCGCCCCGCCCCTCCGGGCGGAGAACCTGGTCCAGCCTGAGCTCTAGGTCGCTGCGGGGTCGCCCGACTGCTGCCTCTGGGACTCAGGGGAGCCCCACCCAGCCCCTGCCCTAGGCCTGCCAGCCTTCCTGAAAAACCACCAGTAGCACCAGTCCTTTGGCCAGGAAGGCCATTTACACTGTTTCAAGTTAGCTCACTGCTGAGATGCTGATGCTTTGGCACCAGGCCCAGTGGGCAAGAAAGCAGATGGGGAGCCAGCGGCCTCTGTGGGAGGGACAGTGCGGCCCCAGCAGGTCATAATAGAGACAGCTGAGTGGCTCTAAAGCAGCAGGCACTGGAGTCAGACCTCTTGAGTTCAGATACCTCTTAGGGCAAGTTCCTTAATCTGTCTGAGCTTCAATGTCTAAAGGATTTTCATCAAACCTCAATCCTCGATAGTGGGATGCACAATAACAGAATCTCCCAACTTGTTATTGTGAGGATTAAATGGGCTGATGCATTCTCAACACTCAGCTGAGGGGCCTTGGGGGTGGGGGGCTTAATCTTGCTAATTCTTATTCATCCTTCCAGTTTCATCAAAAATATCACAATATCTGGCGAGCCTTCCCTAACAATCGCAGATTAGATTAAGCATTCCAGTTTGGGCCTCCCAGCATTCCATCCTTCCCTAACATGATATTCTTTAGTGTTACTGCTTTTCAAATTATCTCGCTTCCCTCTGTAGGGGAGCATAATTTGCCACTCCAAAACATCTCGTTGGTATATGCAGGTTATTTCAAGTTGAAAACAATCAAGGTCTGAAAGACACAGGAAGAAATTCTGACCTTCCCCCTTATCTGCCTAAAGAATTTAGATGGACGGTCTATTACATACAGGAATAGAGCTATCACCATAGATAACCGTAGTATGAACTAGGTGTGTAGACAGAAAAGAACCTTTAAAAGTCTGTTTAAATTCCTCTCTGTGTCCCATTGTCTGTATATAGTCGAGTGAACATTTATTTACCAACCATTTGCTTTTCCATCTCCATGTCAATTGCTTTCCTCCCCTTAGAAGTCCCAAACCCGTAGTCCCAGCATCCTCTTTTGTTTTTAACTTAAGATGATACTTAAGGTGAAGGTTTCAGCCACTGTGATGAGTCACTCAGTTTTCCTGGGTCTCTCGCATGTATACATGTTATTAAACTTTGGTTTTCTCTTGTCAGTCTGTCTCGTGTCAATTTAATTCTCTGACCAGCCAGAAAAACCTAGAGGGGTAAACAGAAATTTATTCTTCCCCGACACCTCCAAGATTCTGAGCAATCTGTGAGGAGAGACCATATCTAGTTTGCTTAGTCTGGTTCCTAAGAGTCAAGCACCTTGCCTGATACATAGTAGATGACTGAAAAATTCGTTGCAGCAATGTTGGAAAAGGTCACCAAGAGGATGTAACTGATGGTCACTGGACCTGGGCCATCAGAGGCTCCTCACCCCCTCCCCATCCTTGGAATGTATGCCTGCCTATAATTCCCATTCTAGCAGCCATTTCAAGGATGTAGCCTTGAGAGAGTAAGGTGTTGTTGAGACCATCTGGACTGAACATATGACTGACTCCAGTTACAGCCTCTATAAACTTTTAAGATTCTGATGGTCCAGGGCAGAGATCTACTCACCTTCAGTTGCCCAAGACAAGCCTTGTATGTAAGTTCTCTTGCTTATTAAAACTGCCACCTACCAAAAAAAAAAAAACAAAAGAAAAGAGGGGCACAGATTGCCCAAGTCTTCTCAGATAAGGAGAGGGAAGAGGGGAGAGCAGTTACTCCTCTAGGGAAGTCAGGTGCAGCACCACAGAGCACGTGATGGGGGCTTAAAGGCAAAGAGCTTTGCTGGGTCCATGGGGTGTGGATGAGGCTTCCTGGACAGGACAGACCTTGCTGTGTAATCACAGCATCAGGCCCTGAGTATGTGTCAGGGGTGGGGGTAGGGAGCAAGCAGCAGGGACACTGTCAGGTTCCTTCAGCTGAGGAGAGGGCACTGGGAGCCTGGTGATGCGCTGTCCCCAGGGCCCTGGTCACCTGAGTGGGCCTAGCTCCTCCTCACTTTCTGTCAGGCACACCCAGGTCCCAGGTGGCCTCTTCCTAGGGCATGCGTGGGCATGCGCAGGCACTGGTGAGCAGTGTCTGAGCCTGGGAGCAGGAACACCTCAACTGCTCCGAGCCTCTTCTAGACCCTTCACTCTTCCCGTGGAAGGGTTGGGTGGGGCTGAAGACCAGCAGCTCCCTGTTCCTTTCTGCCTCCTCAGCCGTGGATGCCCATGGCCAGCAGGCTGGGGTACAGCCCTGCTCAGCCATGCTTAACTGGGTTTCCAGCCCCTACGGCTGCCCTTGACCTCTGCTCCTCACCACGGAGGCAGGATGGGAAGGCGGTGTGCACCTGGTCGTGTCTGCAGGCAGTGTGGACTCAGGCTCTGGAGCCAACACCCAGGGCTGGAGGCCTGGGGCAAGCCACTTAGATGTTCTGAGCCCAACCTGGGTGTCAAAGGAGAGGGAACCCTGCTCTCTGCTTAGTTGTCTCTGAACAGGACTCCAGAGTGTGATGTCAGTAGCCCTTCCTGTAACAACCACCAGGGTTTCGAAACAACCCGGGGATGGTGGCGCTTGCCATTGATCCCCCTGAAGCCCAGGCAGTCCACGTGGACCTAGCAGAGCACGGGAGTCAATTCTGGAGCTGGGCCCCCCTGGCCCCGCCGCCTCCTGCCCAGTCCCCAGCTTCCTAGCTCTGTGCCCCTGGGCAAGTTATTTAACCTCTCCGTTTCTCAGTTCATTCTCGGTGAAACTGGGGCATACGGACTATTTGTTCTGAGGATTAAATGAGGCAGAGCACGGTGTACAGCATCTGACACCTGGGAGGAGCTCAACAAGAATTCGCTTTCACCCTTTTTCTCTCAGGGCGGAGGCTTCCTCTCCTGCATCTCAGCTGTTGTGTTTTCTAATGATGCTTGACAGGCCTCTTTGGTGAAGGAAAGGAAAGCCCAGCCCAGCTCCAGCCTGGCGGGGAACGCAAGGCTGGGTGGGGCCAACTGGGAGGAGCCCTGGGGTCAAGGCCTTCTCTGCTGAGGACGAGGATGGAGCAGAGTCCTCGCTATGGGTTTAGACTTCACATCTTTGAAAGTTACCGTCTGCTCCAGGGAGGGGTGTTAGGTGTCCCTGTTCCCTTGAAAGGACCGTGGAGCCAAGAACACATGTGGCTGGAAGGCCCAAGAGGTCCGTCCTCACTCACCCCCTGCTGTCAGTGGAGTCCACCCTGGAGATGAGCCAAAGCTCAAAACCTGGGGTGTCCAGGTCGCATGCTCCAGCAGACAGCGTATCCTGGAAGGTGTCTGCAGGAGCTAAAAGCAGGGCCGCCACCTCCATGTTACAAGGCGATGGCTGGGCTGGGCACATAGCTCAGTGGTAGAGCGCATGCTCAAGCCCCAGTATCTCAGTTAAATCAGTCAGTCAATCAAGTACTTTAAAACGCAGTGATGGTGATGAGGAGAAGTCCCTGAAGGCAGCGCTTGCTCTCAGCAGGTTCCAGAAATGCCCAGGATGTCCCCGTAGCTTACCTGACCCAGCTCTTCTTCCAGATCCTTCACTCCACCCATGGTGGGGTTGGAGGTCTGGGGACCAGCAGCTCACTATTCCTTTCTGCCTCCTCAGCAGTGGATGCCCATGGCCAGCAGGCTGGGATACAACCCAGGTCCGCTGGGTTCCCAGGAGGGCCCAGGGGCCTCTTCATGAATGAGGCAGCACAGAGCGGAGGAATGGGCAGGTATGTAGTGGGGACTTGAGTTTTATTTGGAATCATTAAAAAAAATTCACAGCAGCATCAGTGGGGTCAGAAGAACCAGGAGGCAGGAAGCGGCAAAGGAGGGAAGTGAAGGCGGTCGTGGCAGCATGGGAGGACCAGCCTGTGGGCAGCCGGGCAAGGGTGTGGGGACCATGGGTGGCCCCGCAGGTCACACTCCAGGGCAAGGCACTCCTTGTGCTGGGAAGGGATGGTGTCCAAGGCAAAGGGGATGGGTTCCTCAGGGCCTCCGCAGCTCACTTGTGGCCCTCTAATCTCACCCACTCTTGGCCTGGGAGAGAGAGTGACTTTCACACACAGCTCTGGGCCCCACCCCTCAGTGGCCACCCTGGGTGGGGTGGGGACAGGGATCATCTGAGGGGGTCATCCATGAGGGGACTTCACACTCAGGCTCAGGAGGCTGCAGGTCAGGAGACTCCCCTGAGGACTCTGAGGCCTCGGGAGGGAAGCAGGCTTGCCCAGGGACCCCTGTGTAACCCCAGGAGCCCACCTCCTACCTCCTTGGCCTCTTCCTCTTCCACTTTGGCCGTCTCACCCTCCGGTGAGGGGGCAGGTTGCTCGAGGTCCTCCTGTGGGAAAGCAAAGGGGATGTGGGACCAGGTAGATGGCACAGAGCCCCCAGCTGCCCTGCAACCAGGGTCTCGTCACCCTGGCCTCAAAGAGGAGCAGAGGTCCTCATCACCTTGCTGTATGTGTCTGGCTGGAGGTGAGGGAGGTGGGGCCAGACTGCCCATGGAGGTGATAGAGCCTTGTGAAAGGATCACAGTGGGGGCTCTGTCTGATGGAGCCAAGGCCTTCTGGGGGTACCCAGTACCCTTGATCTCAGCTTCACCCCCAATAGCTGATACTGACAGTCCCTGGTTGGGCCTCCTCCATAATGAAGCCCAGTGAGGTGGGATGGGGTGGGCAGTGGCCCCTGAAACCCTGGGCCTGACCCCACCCTAGGTGTAACCTCAGCAGGATAAGGGTATGTGATCATGTGATTCAGCCTGAATCACAAACCTTTACCCTACTGAGACCCCCAAACAGCCCTAGGAGGAGGGGCATGTTATCACTGCTCACATGGGGACCCTGTGAGTAGAGAGGACAGGTATCTATCTCAAGGCCTCAGAGCTCAAAGCAGTGGGGCTGGAAGGGATCAGGTCTGGCTTGCTCCAGGCCCACGCATAACCCCAGTAGCATGAGTGCCTCCCTCTTTCCTTCTCCCTGCCTCCTGAATAGGTGCTGGGCTCAGTCTGGTCTGGTTGGGACCAGCAGGGACTATACAATCCTCTCCCACTTCTCATCTCCTTCTACCTGCCTATACTCAGCCAGACACTTGCCTGAGATTGTGGCCTGCCTCGAGGTGGTCAAGTGACAGCTGGTAGGTGGGGCCAGACTGGATGACCAGTTAAGACCCCAGTCTCAGCACCTGCCTCTGGAGGGTCCTACCACCTGTGTGCTACCACAGGGCCATCCCACCTCTTGATGGACTAGGGACGCCAGAGTTGGATGAGGCTCTCCAGGCAAAGGGCAGGTGGCCACCTGCCTAGTCCTGTTGCCCCAAGGTGGGTGCATGAGGCCAATGGCATGAGCAGTCAGACAGACAGGCAGTGCTGCAACCTTCTACCGTTCACTGGAGGGTGAGTCATGACTGGTTTTTGGGTGTCACCAGGAAACGTCTCTCCTGGTAGCTCCAAGGGCCCACCGGCCCTCCTCCAAAGTCAGAGAGGAGTGCCCAGGCTTCCACTCAGAGGCCCAGGGGCAGCCTTGCCCCATCCCAGAGCCTGTTCCAATGGGGGGGGGTGAGGGAGGGAGGGGCCTGGCACCTCCTGGGGCACATATGGGTCCTGCCCAGGGACACTGATGATGATGATAGAGTCACCATGCTCACCATGAGTGAGGCATAGCCGCTTCATGCGGGCCATTTCCCTGCATCATCACACAGCCCAGTGAGATGGGTACCCTCACCACCCCTCTCCCATTTTACAGCTGAGACAATGGAGGCCTGGAGAGGTTGAGTAGCTTCCCAAGGTCATACAGCTGGAAGAGGAAGAGCTGGGAACTAGGACCTGGAGAACGTGTGCTGTTCCCAGAGCCAGGGGCAGGGTGACCCCCTGCTCTCCCATCCACCCGCTCCCTGGAGCTGGGATTCTTAGTGGTGGGTGCCTGGGATTCTACTGCCGGGAGGGGACTGTGCCAGGCAGAGGAGCTCTCTAAAGGACAGCCTTACACAGAGCTGGTGACAGCACTGTCTCTAAGAGGAACACCTCCTGTCCCCAATATGAACGCGCTCCCACCAAGACCCCACTTTCAGTTTCTCTCTCAGAGCACAGGCTCGGAACCTGGGCTGCCCTGGGCATTGCAGGCTCACTCGGACTAGCCCTGGGACCCTGGGCACATTACTTGATCTTTCTGTGCCTCACTGCCACACCCTGTCTCGTGGGATTTTGTGCCGATTAAATGAGTTAGCAAGTGTAAAATGCTTCAATCAGAGCGTCTCTGCGGTGGGTGCAGGGACAGTTCTCCCAGCCGGCCTCCGCCCCCTGGGCGTGCCCCCCCCCCCCGTTCCCTGTGCGCTCTGCGGCCCGGCACACACACGTGCACACTCTCAGCAGGCACAGGCACGCACTCACGCATGCTCACAAAGGCAGAGGCGGAGGGCGTGGTCAGAACCCTCACGGTTTTCCCGTCACCAGGGGGCGCTGCCTCCCCGCTCCTCGGAGGAGGAGGTGGCAGCCCTCCCACCCCTCCACCCGCCTCCTCCGCCAGGCTCGGTGGGGAGGCTGGACACTGGGTGGGCGGTGACTCGGCAGCTCTGGCCCGCTCTCCACTGGCCGTGAGAGGCTGCCTGTCACCACGTAGAGCCCACTGGACCCCGATTTCACTTGTAAATTGTGATATCTCCTAAATGCCGAGCACCATCAAGTGGGCGTGGTTTTGAGCCTCACTTTCCAGTTGGACCTCACGCTGCCTGCCTCGTAGGCGTGTTTGTGAGGATTCCAGAAGTTAATAGATGTGACAATACCAAGCACGGACCAGGACCCCTAAGTCTCCGTGTTCCTGTATGTCAGCGGGGTGAGAATGCCTCCTCCCCAGCTGGTCTCCCTGGGAGCCAGGGGAAAGGATGGGACTGGTTTGAGGGCCAGGCCTGGGGACCAGGTCTCACCTTGCGCACCACTCCGGCGGTGACTGCGATGTTCTCCGCCTCCTCCACGGTCTTGTTGGCCACGATGTTGACGCTGGAGACCACGGCCTCGCTCACGGCATTGGCCTGCTCCTTGGTCTTCTCAGCCACTGTGGGAAGAAACTGGTTGGCTTTGGCCCTGACCCCTCCCCCACCCCGGGGCCTGGCCTGCCCACCAGGCCAGAGCAGCCCCTGTCCCAGGGCACTCAAAACCCTAGTTCTACTGGAGACCCTAGGCTGCCCCCTTTTTGACTCCAGGGGAGCTCTGATGATGATAGGGGTGGCCCACCCTGGGTCTAGCCTCAGGTTCTGGAGAGGTCTGGGTCCATGTACAGCTGAAGAGGAAGGAGAGCCTTGGACTTGGGCCTTTAGTACCAGGGTGCAGAAGTCCCTGGACATCCCAGTCTCCATGTACCCTGGTTCTGGGGCTCCTCACCTGAGGTCACACTCTGCACGACACCCTCCTTGGTCTTGGCTCCTGCCGAGAAAATGGAGACGTCAACCCAGGCCCACCCCTCCTGGTGCTGGGAGGGGAGTGGTCAGGGCAGACACACTGCAGAACAGCTGGACAAGCTGCAGGGTAGCAGCGGGTAAGGCTCGTGTCTGGGCCCAGCCATCCCTTCAAAGGCCACTTCCTGCTGTGTCTGGAGGAGGGGACAGATGGGAAGTGGACAGGACAGGATGGGGAGACGAGAGAGACAGGCCTAAGGTAGCGTCCGACCTCGTGTGGGTGTGGCCTAGGCCTCTGAAGCAGCACACGATGGGACCAGCAAGAGCTGAGTCATCAGCTTGGCCTCTCCTTCAGAGGGAGCTGATGGGGGGTGGAGTCAGACAGGACCCTGAGGGTCTGTCTGGTCTGCCCAGACCACCCCCTTCCCTCTGACCAGGGTGGGGACCTGTGGCCTGGCTGTCGAGCACCTGCTTGCTCTGCCCCCCCCAGGGCTCCAGGCTCAGTGTGGCTTCTTATCTGTCAAGGGGCCTGTGGGTGATGGCGGGGCGGGGGCGCTGGGGTGTGCATTGGTGTGTGCACAAACAGGTGTGTCTGAGAGCTGAGTGCCCCTCTTGCTGTCCTGCCCCAGAGACCCCACGGGCCCCCTAGGAGGCCCAAACAGTAAAAGAGTGGAGGTGCTCCAGGGCAGGGAGACCCTGACTTAACAGCCAGGTCCTCATCCCTCCCAAAAATGCCTCCCTGGGGCCCAGGTAGCTGGGCGGCCACCGAGCTGCCCCGCCCTGCCACGCCCAAACTCACCCACATACATGACACCCTCCTTGGTCTTCTCAGCCGCCTCTGTCACCCCCTGCTTGGTCTTCTCCACGGCGCCCACCACACCCTCCTTGGCGATGGAGAAGCCCTTCTTGAAGACGTCCATGGTGGTGGGCAGGGACAGGAGCCTGACTCCCCAGGCGAACTGTGACTGGAGCTGGCTGGAGTGCTGCCGTGCTGCAGCCGCTGTCCCGGCTGCTGCCTCTTATTGACGCCAATGAAATATTGATGATGCAGCGCGGCTGATGGGAGCCCAGCCAGCCCAGGGGTGGGGGCGGGGAGGGAGGGAGGGAAAGAAGGAGGGAGTGGGGCTGCTGCTACCTTCTCCCAGGGTCCCCCGAGCCCCTCTGGCTCAGTCCTCCCCTCCTGCCCCCTACCCACCCAGATGGGGCCGTAGAGGGCTGAATACATCCTTATCCATCACTGCCCTTCATTCATTTGCTGCCCTGCATGCCCACAGGGGCGGCCCTGGCTGGACGCTGCCAGGCCTGCGGCTGCTGTCTGTGTACCTCTGGGGCAGAGAGAGGTCAGAGAGGGGAGGTGACTTTGCTACCAGTATCCCAGGTAGGGCAGGGGTCAGAGCCAAACAGACCTGTCAGGCAAGAGTAGCCAATCTCCCAGATGGGCCTGGGCTGCCCGGCTACTCACTAGCACAGTGGACGCCCCCATCCCGGGGCTCGGGCAAGGTCAGGTGGAGGAGCTGAGGCAGATACACCAAAGGGCTCCCCTGTGCCCTGGCCCCGGATACAGACTGTGTGTCTCTAGGACAGCTCCTTTCTCCCTCAGAGTCTCCACCCACCTGCTGGCTCCCAGAGCCCAGGGGTGAGAGATGCTGAGTTAGGAATGAAGTACCCCCCACTTCCGGGCCACCAGCATGGATGGGCAGCAGGTTCCCTGAGACTCATCCAACCGCTTCCTGCAGCCCCACTCAACACCCGCGCACCACTCCTGACTCCCATGGGTACATGTTGGGTGGGGCCACCTCCCCCCGGGTCTCCCACATCCCCAGTGTCCCTGACCCAAGTCCTCTCGGGGCACAGGAACTGGCCTGCATTGTTGGCTGCCTCTGCGGGAGCCAGGCAGGGGGTGAGGGGAGCCGGACGAGACTCACCGGGTGGGCCGGCCCAGGCCACTTCCTCTCTTTGTTGTCCTCATGCTTTTTTTTCCTTCTGAGACTTAACTTGAAGACAACGTCACCAGCAGCGGCAGTTTCTGGAGTCACCCACAGAGGCTGAGTCTGCCCTAAGCCAAGATGATTCTGACTCTGCTGCTGGGCCTCGGGGGGCCCCTGGGCTGGGGGCTGCTGGGGGCCTGGGCCCAGGTCCCGGGTACCAGGTTCTCTGATCCACACAGCCCCAGGCCACCTGGGGTCTGGAGGGCAGAGGCTGAGGACACCGGCAGGAACCCCATCAGGCGGTAAGGAGGGCCTGGGCCTGGGGGAGGAAGTGGTACAGGATCTGAGTCCCAGCTCAGCCAGAGCAGGGGCTCCCTGGACCTCAATTTTTCATATGTGAAATGGGCTCACACTGTCTAATTGCTGGGCCAGCTGTGAGGCTGAATGAAGTGCTAGGTTTCAGGCTCCCCTTTAAGAGGCCACCCCCAGCCAGCCTGGACTAGGCACCCTAGGGCGCAGCCTAAGGACCACAGGAAGTTTCCTGCCTGGCCCATGGCAGGGGATGGCCTGGGGGTTAAGGGGTGAGTACTCTTTGCCATCAACCACCAGCATAGAGTGCTGAGGGCCTGTGGTTCCGGAAGTTTCCAGCTGGCCTGGGAGTGGCTCCTGTTCTTTGAAGTAAGTCAGTTCTGAAAGCTGAGCCCAGGTGAGGCTGGCCCGGCCTAAGCCATAAAAGACAGATGCTCCTGGGGGCTGGATTTGGATCTGAGTGCCCAAGGGGCTGATGTGGGTCCTCAGCCTGGCCCTAAGAGCCAAGCAGTGAGCAGCCAGGGTGCCCTGCTCTATTTCCAGAACAAAAAGGATGTCGTGGCATCCAGTGAGCTCTGCTTCAGGGCAACCTCTGGAAATGGGCAGAATGGTCTTCTGACTGGACCAGGACACCATTTTCCAGTCTTTTTATTTATCCAGGGCCAGGGATTGATCCTCTTGCTGATCAGGTGCTGGAATCGCGGGCCCTTCCTCATGGTAGCCCATAGTCGGAGCAGCAGGTGCCACTTAATGGGCCCATCTTTACTGGGCTAGGCATCTTGCCAAGTGTTATCTCAGTTAATCCTCCCAACAGCCCTGGCTGAGCCTGAGGCTCAGAGAGGTGAAGCAGCTGGCCCAAGGTCACACAGCTAAGGAGATCTGGAACCAGGATCTGAGTCTGATTCCAGAGGTCATACTCTGGTCCCTGGAACAGTCAGAGGCAGCCCAGGTCCAGGGGTGCTTATTTCCCCGTCCACCCACTTGCCCCAACCTCCACAAACAAGTAAGACTTGGTGGAGAGCTTCTGAATGGATTTGGAGGGTGAGAGGGGCCAACTTATACCCACCCAGAGCCTCCCGTCTGGCTGAGATTCCCCATCACGTTGGCCTGGGCCGAATCTGCCTGGGACAGTGCTCATCCAGCTCTGACACTTCAAGGTGAATGTGTTTGTTGGACACTTTCCCGAAAGTGGATTTGACTGGGGAGAGGTAGGAGGGTGAGTGTAGCTCGGGGGCACTGCCCGTTGGTGACGGAGGGGTGGGCCGTGCGAGAGGAGAGGGGAGACGTTGGACCTGGAGCACTTCCCTTCCTGCCCCATCGCCAATTTGGCTCAGAGCCAGGAGGTGCAGGTGGCTCTTGGTGGGGGACACCAGCCACCCAGCTCTGATTTCAGGACCAAGGACCCAGCCTTCCTTCCCCAAAGCCGTTAGCTCCAGGCTCTGTCTCTGGGCAACCTGGCCCCAGAGGGTGGGAAGGAGGTAGGAAGTGTTTCTTTTTCTCTGCCACCTCCTGGCTGTGGGGAGGGACTATGTTCCCTTAGTCCCAAGGAGGGTGGACCTCCGGACTGCTCACGGCCTGCTTGTGGGAGCCACTCAGCTACCATCTGGTGGTCCCAGTGTGTGCAGTGTTCGAGTATGCTCACCAAGGCACCCTGGCCCAGGCAGGAGTCTCAAGCCATGGGCCCAGGGGGGTCCAGGAGGTCCCAGGAGGCCTGCTGGTCTCCTGCCCACAACCCAGAAACTGCAGTCCCCATAGGTCAAGCCCAGGTTGTCCAGGCCTCCGGAGGGGCTGGTGAGAAAGGAAGGAAGCTCTGCGCGGCTTCCTTGGGCTGATTGCTTCCCGCGATCCTGCAAAGGAGAGAGGCGGAAACCAGCCCCAGCCCTGCTCCTGCTACAGGGGAAGGGGTCGTGGACCAGGCCCTCCACACTCAGCCTGGTGAGCCCACTGCCCTTGGCTGCCGGAGCGAGGCCCCTGCCCTGCATTTGCCCCCTCACGCCTGTGTCTGGGGCCATAGGGCCAGAGGAGGCCCCGGACGCAGACCCAGATGAGACCCTTTGCAAGGAGAAGCTTGAGCAAACAGCTTGGTGCCGGATGTCAGGTCCCAGGATGGAGGAGGGATGTGGTTGGATGCTTCCTAGGTGCCCTGGGACCCTGAGGGGCTGGCCCAGTGAGCCGCAACGGGGCTCTTTGGACTTTGTGGGGAAGAGGCTCTTTCTGTGCTCCCCAGCTTCGGTGGGGGTAAGGAAAGCATGAGCTTAGGATGTGGGCTCCTCAGATGCAGGACTGCTTCCCAGGCAGGTCTAAGCCGGCTGTGGGGACTGAGCCAAGACCTATGCAAAGTGCCCCATCTCCGCATTGTTGTGACAGTGCTGTGAGGTCGCCACTGTTCTCCCCGCTTTACTTGTTACGAGGTTCAGAGGGGTGGGGTCGCCAGCCAGGGCCACACAGCTTCTAAGTGACAGGTCAGAGGTAAGGCCCGTGTCGGCTGGGCTGCAAATACCAGGTGTCCTCTGTTCTGTCTCCGCCAAGACAGATGGGAATGTAGGAGATGGCTGTCCAGCAGCCCAGCTGGCCCCGGCCGCCAGCATCCGCCTCTTCACCAGGAGTGTTTGCAGGTTGTGCAGCTGGGAGCTTGTGGCCCAGAGGAGTCACGCGTATTGCTGGAGGTCACACAGGAGCATGTTGCTGGCTGCCAGTCTCTGGGCCACCGTTGTACCTCCCGCACCTGCTTCTGTTCTCCAAGGCACAGGGCTCTGGGCACTAACAGGGAACAGCCCCACTGGCCTGAGATAAATGCTCGGGGAATCCTGACTCTGGGCTGGACACCGAGGGGGCCTCGGGCTCCTCTGCCAAGGCCCCTCTGTGGCTCAGAGACCAAGGCAAAATTCTCCCCTGGAGTCGGCACATTCACAGCTGCATTCAGGGCCTCAGAAAACAAGGGTTCTGAGAACACAACCTCCTTCCCCAGGAAGACTGAAGGGGCACTCAGAGGTGGGTTTTACTGGCTGGTTAAGAGGCACTTAAGTGTCCCAGTGGGCTGCGGTAGCAGCACATTTATAATTCAGGAGGCCCCGGCTAACAGCCCTTTCCCTGCTGGAGGCTTTCGCTGCCTTCCTCGAGCCACCCCCCACCCCCAATTCCCAACAGCCCGCCAGGGCCCCAGGGAGGGGCTGGGAGTGGGAATCTTCTCCGTATTTCAAGGACTGGAGGAAGGGCCTTGCTCAAGGTCACCCTGACTCTCTCCTGCCTGGGGTGGGGCATCAGGCCGGGGCCACGTCGGAGGCCCAGGACAGACCCAAACCAGGCTGGAGGACTCCCACACTTGCTTCTAGGCTGGCACCTGCCTCTCAGTAGGCCACTGGGAGATGAGGGTGCCAAGAGGGCCCAGGCCTGAGGCCAGGAGTCGATGAGAACAATGGGGTGCTTCAGAGAGCTGGACTGGGGGCTCAGTGGACCAGCAAGAAACTGCCAAGAGCTGGAGGAAACCAAAGCATGGGTCAGGAATGTTCCCAGGGCTTCTGGGCCAACAGCCTGTACTGTGCCAAGGGGATGGGGCTGCCAAGGGAGGGAAGTGTGGGCAGGGAGAATAGCGGCTGCTGGAGCCCGAGGTTTGGGCAGGTCAGGAGAGAAAGTTCCTGGGCAGGAAGGGTGGGTAACACCACTTTTGGTTCTGGGAAGCCGAAGTGGAAAGTCCCGGTTCACTCCCTGGCACAGTGACCCCGTGAACCAGGGGCGCAGGACTTCTGGACCCTCTACTGCAGTTCAGAGGGTGTGCGAGGAGCAGAACTTTGTTCGGAGCAAGTGTTTCTCAGCCTTGCACTCTTGACATTTGGGACTGGCCAGTTCTTTGTAGTGGGGGTGGGGCTGTCCTGTGCATCTAGGGTGTTTCGCATCATCCTTGGCCTCCACCCACTAGATGCCAGTAGCATCCCCACCCCCTGAGGTGTGTCACCCACAAATGTCTCCTAAAGCCAGATACACCTGTGGGGAATCCCCTCTTCCCCCAACCTGCGCCCCATTGAGGACAACTGGTTTAGAGAAATATTCCTCCCCAGGCCTGAGCACGGGGCCCACGGCAGGGTCGGGGGCCACAGTTTCTGGTCCTCGAAACAGTCTGTACAGGCGGCCACCTCGCCCCAGCCTGACCTGTGGGCCTAGCGCCGTCACAGCCCACTGTGTCAGGGCTGTGCACATCCTTTGCTTCCGTCCCAATTTTCAACTGTCCCTTTTACCAGTTCCTGGTCCCTTGGGGATGCTCGGGGCCCCTTCCTGGTCTCTGTTCCCACTGGCTGGCTTGACAGATCTTGTGCCGGCGTCCCACTGATTTCATCATTTGGCATTAGAGTCGGTCATGAAAGGTAGACGAGAATCTTCTCCCTCATTGTATTCCAAAATATTCCTACCTATTCACCTGTGTATTGTCTTCCAGATGGAAATTATTTTATTCACTTTTAAGGTTTTTTTCTTTTAATTAGTTATACACACCTGTAAGCAGGGCTCAGAAAACTCCAGATGGTGGGACAAATCTGGTCCCCTGACCTGTTTTGTAAATAAAGTTTTATTGGAACACAGCCACGTCCATTTATTTACATACTGTCAGTGCCTGCTTTTGTGCTACGATGGCCAAATTGAGTAAATTGAGTAGACGGGAACAGAGTCTGTTTGTCCTGGAAAGCCTAAAAACCAGGGCCCAGTACTCAGAAGGGCCCTGCACTTGGTTTAATCTCTGTTGTTGCCCAAATTTTCATTTTGCACTGGACCCCACAAATCACATCTTTGGTCTTGTATAAAATATTTACTATCTGTTTACTATCAGAGAAACTTTGATGACCCCCTAGGTTACAGTCAAACAGTTTTCCACAAGGTTTGTTGAGACAAGAAGCCCCAGCCCGCTGTGGTCCCCAGCAGCAATGACTGTCAACTGTTTAGGTGATTCTTGGGGGCATTTACCTCCGTATCTCTAAGTAACACGCTTATATTGCCGCTTCTTGGAAAGTAGCATTATCTAGGATTCTGATCTCTTTCCTACTCCATACCCCAACCCCAGCACGCATGCGTAGGAATGCATGCGCACACACGTGGGGGCACACACATACACACACACACACACACACACACACGCACTTTCCAGTCATCAGTCTCCCCTACTGTCATTTTGAATAGTTATGTTCATATGACTTACGTATGCTCCTTAGAATGGACACGAAGAAAACTATTCATCTTTCTCCCCCCTTGCACACTTTCGGTTTTCCCTGAAATAAGCAATCATCTTCATTTTGTTTTTCTTTTGCTTAGGTTTCTGTCTCTCTGTTACTATTCAGTTCCAAGCTCTGGGTAGTTGTCCCCATCTGCTCTCCACCGTCGTTGCCATCAGGTGTTTGACCACCTGTGTCCTCTTGGAGACCCCTCTCTCACAGCCCCAAGCCAGGGTCTAGGCTGGACCGTTGCCCACTCAGCCCCTGCCTCTCATTGTCCCGCGGTCTCCGTTCACCTCGTTTCCGGGCTGGAACTTCTATTTTTTGACGCCATGCTTTCTTCATTTTTGGTGTTCTCCTTTGTTTTGGCAAAGCACTCCTGGCAGAGTGGTCCTCAATCCCGGGCTGTGCCTAGAGTGACCCAGAGGGCTTCAAAGTGCTGGTGCCCAGGCCCCAACCCCAGAGACTCTCCTTTAACCGGCCAGGGGTGGGGCTTTCAGGCACCCGTGTTTAAGATGCCACAGGACTGCTTTTGATGTGAAGATTTGATGGTAGGATTGCAAACTACAGCCCTAGTAGCTCCCCGATGAGGGTCCCGGGGAGGGAAAGGCTTTGGAATCTGGCTTGTTGAACATTTCTTTATTCTGTGCTCCTTAAATTAATAGTTCGGTTGGGTATAGGATTCTAAACTGGGAATAATTTCCCTTCTGTATTTTGAAGGCAATTCTCCACTGTGGTTTAGTGTCCAGCATTGCTGTTGAGAGGTTCAAGGCTATTCTAATTACTGGTGTTGGGGGGTGGGGTGGGGGTGTGGTGAGGGGGCGGGGCTTAGTTTTTCTCTCTGGAAAGTGCAGAATCATTTTCATTCCCTGAGTTCCAAAATTTCACAATGATACTCTTGATGTGTGTTTATTTTCATCATGTTGTGGGCCCTTTGAATTTGAAATTCCATGTCCTTCACTTCTGGAATATTCATTTGATTGTTTTTATTGATGACTCTCCCCTGCCCACAGTCCCCCTCTCTTTCTGGAACTCCTATTGTTTGGATGCTGGAGTCCCAACACTGGTCCTCTGTTTTTCTGGTCTTTTCTGTCCTATTTTCCATCTCTCTGTTTGCTTTTCTTTTAGGGAAAATTCCTTTAACTTTACCCTCTAACTTTTCTATTAAGTTTCTTGTGGATTTCTACCGCAATAGTCTTAATTTCCAGGGGCTGTGTTCTGCTCTCTCTCAGTGTTCTTCCCCCACTTCTAAAGTAGCTTCCTGTTCTTGTCTCTTGGATGCAGTAAGTTCTTTAATCAATCTGGAAATATTAATGCAAATTGGGGGGGAAGTTCTTTTCTCCCTGCACAGTCTCACTTTTCTCCAAGTTGATTTTCTTCCATTTGCTTGTTTTGACCTCCTGCTTTTGCAGGCGATTTTACTCAAGGGTCATCCTTAGCTGTCTGCCCACTTAAGAACAGACAGGGCGGGAGGCTGATTGGAAGCCGGGGGGCTGGGTGAGGCTGTGATCTGTTTTGCTCCCAGATGCTCCGCTGGGCTAGCTTGTTGGGGGAACCCCTGGCATTAGTGTCTTCAGGTCTTTCCTCTTGAGTGGGGTCATTTTCCTGACAGGCTTTTTCAGGCTGCTGCTGAAAGGATAAAGTCTGGCTGCCAGGCTTCTGGGAGCCAAGTGGGAAAGTAGGGCGTGTGGTCTCAGCAATCAAAATAAATATGATCCCTCAGTCCCCTTCAGTCTTTCCCTTGCCATCCTCAACTGCACCCTTGCGTGATGGAGCCTGATGGGCTTGGGACAAAGATCAGTTCCAGAGAATTAAATCCGAGCCCCGACAGCCACTCGATCACCAAGGCCCCTCCGAATATCTCACAAATATGGTCATTTCTCTCCACATCCACCCCCAATCCAGTCCAAGCTGCCAGCATCTCCCACCAAGACCCCTGACACCACCACCTACGTCTTGACCCCTCCCATCCTTTGCACCCAGGGACCAGGGTAGCTCTTTCATGTCACTTCCCTACTTAAACCCCTCGATGACTCCCCATGCCTTGAGACAGACTCCTGTCCTCAGCCGGCACTCAAGGCCTCCTGGCTTCTTACCTCGTCGCCTCTCCTCGACAGCCCTCTCCCCAGCCCCACCCTCTGCACCTCAGTGGGGCCACAGGCCTCTGTCACAGCTCCTGGTGCCTTACCTCACTCTCCATGTAAGACGCAGCCCAGTCATCATCTCCTCCTGAAAGTCTTCCCCACATCTCACACTGGTCACACCGTCTGAGCTCACCTGCTGTCCCTGGGGACCCTGAAGAGAAGGTCCGCTCCTCCATATCGGCACTGAGCTGGAGCCCAGCACTTGCTCCCACAAGGTGCTATGTTGAGCTGAGCCGTGGTGGTCATTATCACTCTGCTCCGAGAGCTGCCTGTTGGGGGAAAGACCCTCTGACCCCTTCTCCTGAGTCCATCAAGTCTGGGGCTCTGTCAGCAGTGAGCACCTCCCAGGTGATCAGGATGCCAAGTGCGACCCCAAGCCACTCGGTAGGACCTCAGTGTGGCCCAGAATGCCTTCCCCTACAACTGTGTAAAAGTCCATTTCCATAATGGCCATAATGGGGCACAGCCAGGGAGCAGGTGCCTTCCCTGCAGCTGGGTCTCTGGTGAGGAACCGTGTGGGCTGTAATGGGACAGGCTGCCAGGGCGCCAGAAGGGGCAGAGCAGCCGTGCTCACTGGACACTTGGAAGGAGCCAGGCCCCTGGCTCTCATCTGCCCATCTGGAGGAGGGTGTTACAATCTCCATCGGACAGGTGGGAAACGAAAACTCCCTGAGTGCCCTGCTCAAGGTCACACAGCCAGAAAGTGTGGAGGATTTGAACCAGGGACTCTGCAGCCCCAGCAGCACTGTACTGCCTCCCTGGCACCAGGAGAAACAGGGCTCTGGGGGGTAACTCTGCTCTGTGGCTCTGGGGAGCTCCTCAGCCTCTCTGTGCTGACCTAGAAGTGGCAGGTACTTCTGGGAAGGGAAGGCAGTCGAGCAGAGGCTCTTGCAGGCAGAGTATGTGGAGCTTTTGCTCTGGACCAGAGGGATGAATAATGCAGAGCACTCCTTTCTCAGGCTAATGGATTCCAGGATCCCGGGGTTGGGTGGTTCAGGGAGGCAGGGAGTGGGGCCGCTCTGCACTGGCCCATTGACCTCTAGGGGGACTTAAGGGGGGCCCAGGTGTGGCTCAGCCACTCTCTCCTCTGCTTGTTTCTTTCCAGCAACTGGTGTCCCTACCAGAAGTCCAGGCTGGTCACCTTCATAGCTGCTTGCAAAACAGAGAAATTCATTGTCCACTCGCAGCAGCCTTGTCCACAGGAGGCTCCAGACTGCCAGAAAGTCAAAGTCATGTGAGTGGGGGTATAGCAGGGTGGCCCATTCGTCCCCACCCTGTGCTGGCTCACCCTGGAGTCGCTGAGCCCACCCTCTTCTCCCAGGTACCGTGTGGCCCACAAGCCAGTCTACCAGGTCAAGCAGAAGGTACTGGCCTCAGTGGCCTGGAGGTGCTGCCCGGGCTTCACGGGACCCGACTGTCAGCACCACGGTAGGATTCCCTCTGGTCCTCCTCCCCCCTCCCCTCTGACCCCAGAGGTCATGCAGCTCCTCTGACCTCTGGGGTCAACATCTAATGCTTCTTCTCTGCAGATCCCACGGCAATCCCCGAGCCCGAAGATGTGGCTGAGAGCCTCCAGGAGCTTTGGGATGGGCCAGTCAGCTTTGAAGCTGGTATGCCGCTTTCCTGGAAGGCGCAGGAGGGACAGGCAGGCAGAAGAAACCCTCGTGCCCAGGCCCTTTCTCCTCTGATAGGGCAGTGCTATTCCAGGAAAACTTTGTTTCCAGATTCAGTGGGGGTCCCTCTGTGGCCCTGTCTCACCCCAGCCCCACACCCAGATGGCCAAGTTCACAGGGTCCTCGGCTACCTGCCTGCTGGCTCAGCACACGCCCCTCTTCTCCTTGACCCCATTTTCTGGAAAGGACAGCTTCATTGGACACCCTCCTTGCGTCTTGAACTGCATAAGTTCCCACCCACCCCTCACCCCTAACCAGGGCCAGGAGGCCATGCTGTCCTTGCTCTCAAGTCAGCACAGCAGAACCAAGAGACACCATCTGGGAGGCCTTTCAAGGGCGGGCCACGGTTGGGATAAGCAAATGAGTTTCATTGTGAGGTTTAACTCCTATCTATTGACAAGGATTGCCTAGAAAGACGTCAGGAGGCCATGTCTCTGTGGCTGAGGAGGAAAGTGTGCCACAATGGATTAGTCATGTCTGTCATGGGTGTAGGGGGCGGGGTTAGGCCTCACTTGCCAACATTTGCCCTTCTGGAAGTAAAGGCTTCTAAGCTCCTGCTTAGAGGCCACCAGGACACATCTCCCTGCTTTCAACCCCCAAATCTCCCATCTGGACCTCATGTTGTGCCCAGGCCTGGGAAGTGAGACCTCGACACTAATCTCTCCCGTGTATTCAGGCCACCCTGCTGCAGAGGTCAGCAACATGGTGGAGGAGCAGGAACACCGGCTGGGAGATCTCCAGAATGACATTCACCAGGTGGCGGATAGCCTCCCAGGCTTGTGGAAGGCTCTGGCAAGTAACCTCACAGCGGCAACGACTGAGGCAAATCAGACAGAGCTGGGTGAGTGGCAGGTTCCTGGGGCCGAGGAAGAGCCTGGTTCCGTCCAAAGGGATGAGTAGGAGGGGAGGCAGAAAGGCCCAAATCTCAGCAGCCTCCCACCACATTTGCCACCAGGGTTGGGATGTCTGCTCCCCAGGGCTTGCATAAACGCGTGCGTCTGTTGCAGAGTTCCCTGGCAGATCCTTGGAGCAAGTGCTGCTGCCTCATGTGAACACCTTCCTACAAGTACATTTCAGCCCCATGTGGAGAAGCTTCAACCAAAGCCTGCACAGCCTCTCGCTGGCCATAAGAAACTTATCTCTTGATGTGGAGGCCAACCGACAGGCCATCAGGAGGGTCCAGGAGAGTGCTGTGGCCAGAGCTGACTTCCAGGATCTTGGTGCTAAATTTGAGACCAAGGTGCAGGAGAATGCCCAGAGAGTGGGCCAGCTGCGGCAGGATGTGGAGGACCGTCTGCAAGCCCAGCATCTTTCCCTGCACCACTCCCTCTCGGAGGTCCAGGCTGATGTGGATGCCAGGTTGAAGAAGCTCCTTAAGGCTCAGGAGTCCCTGGGGGCCAATGGCAGCCTGGTCCTGGCAGCAGCAGGGGCAGCAGCAAGGCCAGAGCCAGAGAGCCTGCAGGCCAGGCTGGGCCAGCTGCAGAGGAACCTCTCCGCGCTGCACGTGGTCACTGCCCGCAGAGAAGAGGAGCTACAGAGCACCCTGGCCGACATGAAGGCCACCCTGGCCCAGCACGTGGAGGAGATTAGGGAGCTGTATTCGGAATCTGATGAGACCTTCGATGAGATCACCAAGGTGCAGCGACAGGTGGAGGAACTGCAGGTGAACCACACGGCGCTGCGCGAGCTGCGGGTGATCCTAATTGAGAAGTCGCTGATCATGGAGGAGAACAAGGAGGAGATGGAGCGGCAGCTCCTGGAGCTCAACCTCACCCTCCAGCACCTGCAGGGCGGCCACGCGGACCTCATCAAGTACGTCAAGGACTGCAACTGCCAGAAGCTCTACTTTGACCTGGACATCATCCGAGAGGGCCAGCGGGACACCACGCGTGCCCTGGAGGAGACCCAGCTGAGCCTAGACGAGCGGCGCCAGC